GGGGGGGCGGAGAAAAAGGGGGTGCAGGGATTCAAGAAGTAAGCCTTTAAGAGCCTTGGGGTTCTCGTAGTCCGGAGGTTAAGGTGTTCGCCTCTCTTTCAATAGGTCTTGGGTTTGAAACCTGGCAACGGAAAACAATTTCCTTCCCTAAAATTTTCTCCTTTCACTTCCTTTCCTGCTCTCTTACCATGTTTTGTTGTCTGCTTTCGTTTCCACTTTCTGCCCCCCCCCCCCTTTCCCCTTTGCCCCCTTCTTTGGGCTCCTCACTCTTTTTACTGTTACTCCTTGGCTCCTTCTTACTGCTGTCTTTCAGCTACATCCCTGAGCATATGGTAGGTCAAATCGAATACATAGCCTTCTCTGATAAAAGCAAAACAAATCTTGGAGTCCCTTGGTGGTCCTAAAATCGATAAGAGTAGGCTTCGGCCACCACCACGGCATAATTCAAAATTCCTACCAAACTGGAAAATTAATGTTTGATTAGTCCAGCACGCTTATATGACCTTATGCAATTGCGAGCTCCGGGAAATGCTTACCAAAGAAAAAGAAAGAAGAAAAAAAGGAACCTTACACAGTGTTGCAAAGGATGTTAAATGTATTATATACAATTTCACAATGTTTTTTTCAATGCCCTCATTTGTTTCCTTCCCTCAGCTGTGGACTACAGCCAGCTGCTACAGCGAGACATATCGGAGCTGACCGCCGCGATAGACAGCCTCAAGGTGGAGAGGGAAGCCTTCAACACAGACATAGAGTGAGTAGTACACGTGCACGAGTATGCTGTTGTGACGTCACTGATGACTTGTGTACGCTGAACAGACTGTCACGCTGAATATCATCGGTGACGCGAGCAATTCGTTTGAGTCCGTTTGGGTACTTTTTATCCCAAAGACAAAAAAACAACACTTTTTGTTGTGTTCTTCCTATCAGGAATCAGGAAAAGCAAGAAAATTGCAAGCCTTGATTAAAGCGTCACATTGCATTTTGGAGATGTTGGTAAAAGTTGCAGATTAGATAACGTTTTTAGAGAGTATAAAAATCGAAAATTCTCAAAATTTAAACTTGAGTGGATTGCCTGTAACAGCCACATTATCTTGTGGGGACAGTTACTGCCTGCTGGTGTGGAGTCTGGGAACTTTTTCCTGTTCTTGTGTGCCAGTATTGTGAACTTTTGCTGTTCTTGTGTGTCAGTATTGTGAACTTTTGCTGTTCTTGTGTGTCAGTATTGTGAACTTTTGCTGTTCTTGTGTGTCAGTATTGTGAACTTTTGCTGTTCTTGTGTGCCTGTATTGTGAACTTTTGCTGTTCCTGTATGCCAGTATTGTGCCAGTATTTACCTGTGCCTTTGTGTGTTAGCATTTGTGAGGCAGCGTGGTGAACTCAGGCGCTCATCAAAATAATGAAAGTCGGGTTTGGGAATTTTTATCGAATTTTTGTTTTTTGGCTTAGCACCCTTCATGCCCATTAAAGAAAACATTTCTGTTTTTAAATAGATATTAAAGGTGTTGAGCCGAGATTTAGAAGAAAAAAAACATTCATTAAAAATCTACCCAACGGGAGGAAAAGAATTTGGCTTTTTCAAGTTCATTATCTTGACTAGTGCCTGATTTCACTCCAATGTCGCACTATTACCTTGACTTCTATTTAAGATGGATGGGTATTTTTTTCATCGAAAGTAAGACAAATGAACAAGCTTTAAGGTTATACCAATAACCCCACACACCCAAAAATTGACGAGTGCCTGATATTACTGTTTTATCCTTTCACCATTTCACCATTTCACCCCCTTCCACCCTTTTGCCATTTCACCATTTCACCGTTTTGTCATTTCACCCTTTCACCATAATTTCCCCATCCCCCCCCCCCCCCCCCACAGGAAGTACAAAGCAGCCCTTCCCGATATGCCGGTAAGAGAAGAGTTCCCAAGGACGCTGGATGAGAGGTTCTCGGACTATGTTCACGAACAGGACAAAGACTCCTGGCCATTCTGGGCTGTATCCTTTCCTGGTGAAATACCCAACTGTGTATAAATGTATTGACAGACGATTGATGTTCTTCTTCGTGAATGTAAATACAGAAAGAGGGGTGTAGATAAACACACACGCACAAGCACGCATGCACACACGCACAAGCCCGCATGTCCCCGCGTACGGTCGCCCACACACACACACACACACACACACAAAGAACCAGACAAATAGAAGACCATACAGAAGATTATTATGAAAGAATTCGAAAGGACACGCAGAGATGGGTAGCGCCCCCAAAACAGTAGAAACCATCGGCTATGTCCCCTCTAGATGGTATGATCTAGAGGAGGCCGGGGGCATCGCTCGAGGGGCAAGAGGTGCCAGGGAAGGAGGCCTAAAAGCGGAAAGTGCGTACGGTATGTGACGGGTGTTGGCGACAGAAGAAACGATACTGAGGGGTGGCGGACATAATGA